CGGTCGCCCAGGGAACGGGCCGCCGGGCAGCTTGTCCCGGAAGTGAATCTGGCGGACGTCGAGGAGGAAGGGGGGGAGGGCCCAAGGGGGAGGGGGGGGGGAAGAAGGGGGGGAGGGGAGAAGGGGGGGAGTGGAAGTGGTTCTGGCGGACATCGAGGAAGAAGGGGGGGAGGGCCCAAGGAAGCTGGGGGGAGGCGGACAGCGATAGGCGAGGAATAGCTGGCGGACAACGGTGGGGTTGTGGGTGCCACGACAACGGACACCCCAACAGTCCTGTCATTGAATCTGAAGCGTGCTTCAAACGTCGGAAAACTGTTGTGAAGATGTTTTAAACATGTCTGTCACATGTTCAAGACATGTTTAACACATGTTTTAGACGTCTGGTGATTATTTGGCAACATGCTTCCTCTCCATTGATCGTCCTCCACAACTCTGATAGGGAGGCTTCTGGCGGACAACGATACGGGGGGAGAGTTCTGGTCGACAACACTAGGGAGCCCAAAAGAGAAAGGGCTGCTGCGGACAACGATAGGGGCGGAAGGAGGACGGGAAGGAGAGCCCAGAAACTTCTGCAGAGTCGCGAGGAAGCCTCGAGCGACTGCGCGATTCCCAAGTAAGTCGTGAGGAAGTCCAGGGCGAGAGCGTAATTCTTGAGTGTTGGGGGCGCGGCGTGTCGATAGATTGCAGGGACGTCCCGCGCGAGAGCGCGAGTCCTGGGTAAATTGTGAGGAAATCCTGCGCGAGAGCGCGATTTTTAATAAATGGTGCGGAAGGATCAGGCGGGAAACTATCTTGTGGTAAACTGGGGGCCAGGGGCACAATCTGAGGTCCAAGAACTTCCCTTGGGAAAAAAAACACGCTGCGAGCCCCGTCGATCCATGGATAGGGGGCCGCATGCGAACCCTCCCCCTCAGAAATCGTGGGGGGTAGGGGTAGGGTTCGCATGTGGCCCCCTATTCGATGAGTTTCGGGGGCGCGCAAACATGGACTAGCGATCCATGGGTTCGGCGCGCGGTCGCCAAATCCATGGATCGGGGAAGTGCCCTCCCCAAAATGTGGCCAGCGCCGCCTCGTTCGGCGGCGGAAATCCGCGACTTCCCACGGAAACGGGATCCGTCGCTAATCCACGCCCCCCTGATCCATGCTTGCGATCGCCTGAGAGCTCACACATCCCACACGGCGAAGTCAGGCACAAGCCGCCAGCACCAGCTGGGCGCCGCAATCCCACCACCGTGCCTTTTGGAGCGTTGAGGCGTTGTTGAACGTCAAGTCCTGTCTGGCAGGATCTCTGTAGTCTTCCAGGGGGCCCCTCCCCACCCTCTTTGGACGCCCGAAATGGGTACGGAAAGAATGGGCACAATGCCCAACAGCAAATGTTGTCCCGAACCAGCAGCGGCCGCGGTTGGGCAGGCGGCCTTCTGCATCAAAAGAACACAGGCCGCGGCGGCGTGGACAGCTCATCCTGTTCAAAATGAACAGGACCTGCTGTTGGGCATTTGTACCCATTCTGTCCGTGCCCATGTCTAGGGGGCCACATGCGAACCCTACCCCGACCCCCACGATTTCTGAGTGGGAGGGTGAGGTTCACTTCGCTCGGGAGCTCCTGAGCGAAGTGAACCCCACCCTCCCCCTCAGAAATCGCGGGGGGTAGGGGTAGGGTTCGCATGTGAGCCCCTAATGTCGGGCGCCCCCCCCCTCCAAGCGCCCAGCCGCACGCATCCCCTCCCCCCCCTCCCCGGACACTCCCGAGGCTCCGTGGGCGGCCCGGCGCCTCCCTGGGGCTCTCCTGGGCTCCACGACTCCGAGGACGGCCCACGAAGGCCACCAGGGCCGCCACGATGGCTCCGCGGTGCCTCAAGAGGCACCCAGCAGCCACGAACAAGCGCCCCATGAGTCCCAAGAGGCCTCCACGAGACTCGAGGACTCCCCCAAGACGCTCTCTCGAAAGACCCCGAGAGGCCACAATCATTGTGTCCCCTTTGTTTCTCTATGTTTCTCGCTGTCCACTATGTTCGGTCGAGTATCGCACCCACTAAGAGCCCCAAGAGGGCCCCCCTAGACGGCCCAAGACGGCCTCAAGAGAGACCCAAGCTGGCCCATGAGGGTCTCTGGAGGCAGCCAAGACGGCCCAAGAAGGCCTCAAGAGACCCGCCAGACGGCCAGCATGTCCCCAAGAGAATCCAAGGGGGCTTCGAGGCGGCCCAGGAGAGCCCCGAGACGACAGACGAGGGCCCAAGGGACCCCCAAGACTGCCTCACAGGAGCCCAAGACAGCCCAAAAATGATCCAGGCTAGCCTCATGAAAGATCCTCAAGAAGCGGAGACGACGAGGTGTCACATGTGACTGCCTTCTGAGCGGTGTTCGAAGGGTCGCCATACAGAATGCTTCGCTGGCACGGTGGCGGATTTGCCGCAGGCACGTGGATATTGATATGGATGCTGGCTGACCAAAATCTCTGCGACCGACCGGTGTTAGAGCACGGGGACGACCCCGCCTGCGATGGACCACAGTCAACTGGGAGAAGGCGAAGCGTGCGATGGCATCCTATCGTCGCTTCCCCCTGCCCCCCTCCCTTCCCGCATCATCTCCTTCCTCCTGATGAAGTAGTTGGATGCGATTTGGACAGCCACTGTGGAAAGCGAAGGAACGGCTACATGAATTCCCCCATTGACCCTATACACGCGTTGGTGCATTCTCTCGATGTCGCATTTCCCGTTCAGAACAGTGTGCCCTACCGATGGGATGAACTGTGCGATATCATGGCTTGCGTGCATGTGAGCTAATTTGTAGTACACAACGGCGGGCGCATGCAGACCATGAACGGTGGTCAGCTCGAAGCACGGTGGCGTCAGATTTACCATCCTTACCGCCGCCACTATAAACGTTGTCACAACCACCATCAACTAATCGCAACCCCCACCGTCACCGTCGCCATCACCGTCCTCATCTGCATCATCGTCCTCCTCTTTCTCTTCCTCATCACCTATGTCACCGTCACCGTCGACATCATCAGCATTGTCATCATCACCACTGTCGACGTCGTCATCATCACCACCACCACCATCATCGTCATCATCAGCATCATCGTCGTCATAATCATCATCAGCATCAGCATCAGCATCAACATCATCATCATCATCAGCATCATCATAATCATCAGCATCATCATCAACATCATCATCATCATCATCATCATCATCATCATCATTATCATCATCATCGTTGCCGTCGCCATTATCATCATAATCATCATCAGCAGTAGCACCACCGACACCATCATAACCATCATCAGTAGCAGCAGCACCACCACCCTCATTTCATCATGATCATTCCTACGAATTCCCACACACACACACACACACACACACACTTCCCGCGATCCTCGCCTCGCTACCTTATTTGCACCACTATCCCCTTCATTCCTTCTCCTTCAAAATAAGTTCTCCCTGCCGCACCCCGAGGCCAGTTTTTGGGCGGGCTGGGCGTTTTGCCTGAGACTTCCTCATGACTTATCACCCTGAGGCTTCAAACATTGGCGACGGTCTCACAGATGGAGGGCGGGTCGTTTTCAAAATGTGGCTCTCGCCTAAGCGCCGCGCATATTCGTTTGTAATGTTTGCAAGAGCTTCACGGATTGAGGGCGGTTCCGTTGCAAACTGTGACACTCGCCTTTAGCGCCGCGCACGTTCGTTCATTGAATATGGAAAAGATGTTTACGGGTTCCCATGATCAACGTACCAGCAACGGTGTGTCGGAAGGATTCAGGATTATGAGAGCGTGACAGTTACGTTGATTCGCGGTGAAGTCGAGGAATAATGCTCTGGCACGGTTCAGGATCGTCAAGACGCAACAGTGAGGTTGATCCGTGGCGTTGGAATCCCGAGAACAATGTGTTGGCATGCTTCAGGGACTTCATACGGTTGTCTCCCAACGGGGCAGTTCCCTCAGTGAAACTGAACCGTTGTAGGGGCCTAGGAAGAAGGAGCTTGGAGGTAGGGTTGATTCCAACATCGTCGATGACTCTTGGATGTATACTGCCCCCTCCTCCTCCTTCTCCTCCTCCTCCTCCTCCTTCCCTCTCAACATGAGATTCAACACCCCGCCCCCCAACCCTCCGCAACGAGTATGAGCATCATAATCGTCAAAACGCACCTCCTGATCAGCATCATCATCATCATGATCAGCATCATCATCACCATCATCATCGCCATCGTCATCGTCATCGTCAGTGTCATCATCATCGTCGTCGTCGATGGCGTCGTCATCAAGATCAGCATGATCACCATAACCATCAAGCTTGTTATCACAGTCACCAGCATCATCAACCTCATCATCATCACTGTCAGCATCAGTATCATCATCATCATCATCATCATCATCATCGTCGCCAGCCTCTTCTTCAATAGCAGGATCGTGTTCTTCGTCATCATGTAACTAGCAGTCCCCGCGTAATCATCACCATCGCCATCACCATCACCAGCAGCATCAGCATCATCATCAGCATCATCATCGTCGTCACCGACATCGTCGTCGTCGTCCTACTCCCCCTCCTCCTCATCATCATCACCACCATCGTCGCCATCCTCAGTAGCACCAGCGCACCTACCATCTACATCATCATCATCAGCATCACCACCATCATCATCATCATCATCATCATCATCATCATCATCACCATCACCATCGTCACACTGGTCCTCCTCCGTCTCCTCCTCCTCCTCCTCCTCCTCGTCCTCCTCCTCATCATCATCGGCATCGGCGTCGTCGTCAACGTCGTCATTGGCATCGTCACAATCAACGTCAACAGCAGCACTAGCACCGTCAGCCTCAGCATCAGCATCACCATCATCATCATCAGCAGCAGCATCACCACCACCACCAGCATCATCATCATCATCATCAGCAGCAGCATCATCATCACGGACACCGACGTCACAAGCATCATCTCAATCAGCAGCAGCAGTATCAGACAACGTGATCATCATCAGCAGCAGCAACACCATTATCAACAGCATCATCAGCGCCATTGGCATCATCGTCAGCATCATCATCATCAGCAGCATCATCATCGTCAGGGTCACCACCAGCATCGTCATCATCATCATCATCATCATCATCATCATCATCATCATCATCATCATCACCGTCCTCATCATCATAATCAGCATCATCATCATCATCGTCAGCATCATCGTCATCGTCATCGTCATCATCAACAGCACCATATTCAGCGTCGCAGCATCATGGTCATCACCATCATCAGAAATACCAGCAGCAGCATCAGCCTTATCCTCATCAGCATCACCATCATCACCATCAGCATCATCAGCATCGGCATCAGAATAATAAGCATCATCACAATCATGAGAAGCAACCTCGTAATCGTCATCACCGTAAGCATGATCATAATCATCCGCACCAGCAACATCATCTACGTCATAATCGTCTGCGTCATCACCATCATCATCAGCAGCAGCATAATAATCATCGCCACCATCAGCATTGATATCATCATCACCACAATCATCACCACCACCATCATCATCATCACCATCGTCACCATCGCCGCCACCTTCGTCGTTGTCATCGTGATGATGATGATCATCATCATCAGCAGCAGCAGCATCAGCATCATCATCGTCATCATCCGCAGCAGCATAACCATCCTCATCATCCTCATTCCCGTCCCCGTCTTCGCCATCCCCCTTCCCCCTCCCACCTCCACCCCCCCCTTCCTCGACCCCCCCCCCCCTCCCAGCACTCCCTGCGCTCAGTGCACGGGCGGCCGCCTGGTGGAACTCGCCCAGATCCAGAAGCTCCTCCTTGGAGAAGCCACCCACGACCTCCCCCAGACGTGGGGCTCGGGAGACGGGGCAGGCCTTCAGGAAGGAAGAGAAAGAAGGGGCCTTCAGGAAGGAAGAGAACGAAGGCCTTCAGGAGGGAAGAGGAAGGAAGAGAAAGAAGAAACTAGAAGAAACTCCCTCGCATCAAATGTTTCGGCAGTGTTCGGCCTCCGGGAGCACTTCCTGGTACAAGGCGGCACGCCCTTCAAACAATGTGTCAGGATGAAAAGCTAGCCCTGGGGAAGGAAGAGGTCGAGAACTCGGGAGGTTCACGTTTTGAAAATCAGAAGCACATATCGATGCTGAGGAGACTGAGATGGAGGAGTGGGATGAGGGTGGAAAGGGGAGGGGAAGGCGGTGGTGGAGGTGGAGGGGGCAGGGGGCAGAGGTACAGGAGTGATAAGGGAGGAGTGAGCAAGGGCAGGGATCAAAGGAGAGAGGGATGAAGGAATAATTGCGAGGCGCAGAAGCAAGAGTAGCAGTAGTGCAGGAGCAGGAGTGAGAGCACGAAAATCACGAGCAGGAGCAGGATTAGAGGCGCATCGAGGAGGGGGCATAATTATGTTGCAACGCACTGCTGCGTTTGATGAGCACGAAGAGAACCCTCAGGCGAGAGGCCGCTCACGCACTGGAACTCGATAAAATCGATGTCCAAAATCCGTCGAACGCAGATGAAACTATTCGTTAATTACTCGATTGCCTTATTCTTCTTCGTGATCATGCTGGCAATGTCCAAAGCCTGCACTGAATAGGCTCTTCAGAACCAGGTAAAACGCTCCAACCGTGTGACGCTCATCTCGAATCCACTCTATCGTGTAAGTTCGTACGCAGATGAATGAGTCTTCCCCCCCACAATTGTTTGATATGAGCCCGCATCGTCACGCGCAACTGCTTAGAAAAGTTGTCCTCCCTGGTCCTCACCGCTGATGCAGAACCTCAACTGGCCTCCAGGTTCGGCTTCTCGCGCAACGTGTCACAGTCGTCTCGCTCCTCCACCGTCGCCTTCACGAGCGCACCCTGCTCCTGCACTACCTCACAAATAACACGACCACGGAGAACTGCCTGAGACGCCTCCCCAACAGGAGCTCCAGCCGAGGCACCCCCCGAACCACAAACCGCATCGTAGCTGTATTACGATCACCGGCAACGAAGCAGGAAGATTTCAAGATGCAAGTCGAACTCAGAGCTTGATGAAAAAACGCTAGCAGGATCAGCGACTTCTCCAGCATCAGGTAGGCGACCCACTTCGTGACGCGATTCTGGCGAAGAAGAGGAGGAGGGGACCAAGAGGGGGAGAAGGCAGGAGGAGGGAAGCGGAGTACGGAGGAGGGGGAGGATGAGGAGGTGGGGGACGAGACGGCAGGAAGGAGGAAGTGAAGTGGGAAGGGAACGGAAGGAGAACACGCCCGAAACGATCCCCACTGTCCGCGAGGGACCCAGCAGCCGCGGCCAAGCTCCTTGAGGTCCTGCCGGTGCGCCCGCGGCCTACGACTCCCCCTCCCGCCGCTGGCTTCCCTCGTCCAGTCACCCCCCCCAAGGACGAAGGGTCGGTCTCACGAGCATAATGACACTTCTTCCTGGGGCTAGTGGTGGCGGAGGTGTTTGTCGTGCGCCGTCGCCCTAGACTGGGGGCGATCGTCCCCGCGGACGCTTTCCAGTCAGTGCCCAAAATCAACGAAAAAGGGGACGGGGGGAGGGGGGGATTATGTGATTCTAGTCTTGCCTCGCGCGCGCCCTCAAGGGGGTACAGGGTCCAGGTTCAAGGAGAAACAGGCAGCCACTGGGGACGACGGCGACGGCGGCGGATGGCGACGGCGACGGCGGCATCGGTACGACAGGCCACCGACGAACCACCCGCAGCGACATCAGGGGGAGGGGGAGGGGGAAGGCGAGGAGCAGGTGTCTTCATTTCCGCTACGCCCGCCAGGCTTACGTTCATGCGCTCAGCCAAAAAATCTCCAGCCCAGAAGCTCAAGTTCGCCCCTTGTTAAAAAACGAGGAGCAAGGGGGGGGATCTGCCAGAGAACGCGCGCACGCATCCCACCCCCTCGTCAGGATGTGGGGGACGGGGTGCTCAGGTGCGCGCGCGCGCTGCCCGGATTCCAGCCCTCCCACTCCCCCAGGAACCTGCCTCGCCTGCGCCCCAGGGGGAACTTCGCTCCTCGCACATGCCCCAAATGACTCACCCTGTCAGGACAGAGACCAGGACCGGGGGAGGGCTAGACGCTCCTTCTGGGGAGCTTCCTGGAGGAGTCACTCGCTCCACTCGTGAACCGATGCTGCGTCGGACGTCCGTCGATCTGAGTCGAACCTGAGTCGCACGTGCGAACCAGAGTCGGCCCCAGGAAGGTTCCCAAAAACGAACATCTCCAGAGGGGGAAGCGAGGAGGAGAGGGCACGGGAAGGGGGAGGAGGCAAGCGGAGGAGCGCCGCGGTGGGTGCGCACCCGGGCCCCTCGCCCAAGAGTGATTCCTTGCGCGACCAGAGTCAAAGGCCCCAACGCGTCTAGCCCAGTGTGCATCACCGGTTCGCTCCAAGCCCCGAGATGCTGACGTGTCGAAGGCAGAACACCTGCGCGGCAGCGCAACTCGATGGAGATGTTCGCAGGCATACGTAGGCACAAATGCGAGAGCGCGGGTGAGAGAAGGATGCCCCTCGAACAATAAGTATAAGAAGGATCAGTAGGTAGTGTACGTGGGAGGAGGACGAGGAGGAGGAGGAGGAGGAAGAGGAGGAGGAGGAGGAGTTGGAGGAGGAGGATGGGGCAGGATTGGCAGCCCATGCTAGCGGCAGCAGTAATGGCATCAGAGGCCGCCACAGTGACGCAGCCTCAGCAGCGACAGTCCTTATCTGTTATAAGGACTGCGCACTCCAGGATCTTGGGCTTGCGGTGGAAGTCGTAGAAGCCGGCAGTGAGCTGTGCACGGCATCACGCTTCAGACGTCGAGAGCGCCAGTGAAGAGCATGAACTTGATGCAAAGTATGAGAACGACGAAAAGAACAGAGCAAGAGGTCCCGAATTCTCTTCCCGCATTCCTCCTCTGCATCCTGTCTCTCCTCCTCCTCCTCCTCCTCCTCCTCCTCGAACATCCCTTCTGCGCATTTGTCAGTGCATCCTCCTCCTCCTCCTCATGCTCCTCCTCATCATCCTCGTCCTCGTCCTCGTCATCCTCCTCCCACTCTGCTCGTCCCTCTCCCCCTCCTCCTCCTCCTCCTCCTCCTCCTCCTCCTCCTCCTCCTCCTCCTCCTCCTCCTCCTCCTCCTCCTCCTCCTCCTCCTCCTCACCCCTCCCTCCCTCATCCCTCCACTCCCCCTCCTGCTGCTGCGGACCCTCCACCCCTCATCCCCACTTCATCCTCCCACTCCTCAATCATCCTTCCTCACTCGTACCGCATCCCTGATCTCCGTTCCTCCTCTTCCTGTCCTCCTCCTCCCTCTCCTCCTCTCCCCTCCGTCTCTCCTCCTCTCCTCCTCCTCCTCAACCTCCTCCTCCAACTCCTCCTCCTCCTCCGCCTCCTCCTCCTCCTCTTCTTCCTCCTCCTCCTCCTCCTCCTCCTCCTCTTCCTCCTCCTCCTCCTCCCACGTACAATACCTACTGATCCTTCGTCTACTTATTGTTCGAGGGGCATCCGTCTCTTCCTCCTCACCCCAATCCTCCTGCCCGCCTACACTCAGATTGCCTCCTATTCCGCCCGAAACACCCTCATCAAGAACACTCTCAAGATAGTTCACGCCGTGCGAGCTTCGCTACACATGAAAGCTGCTCAAAGTGCCGAAGAGGAACGGTTGAGGAGGATTGCAAGGACAGGAATAGACGACGAGGATACGCAGCAGCAGCGGGGAAGAAGGAGAAGCAGGGTGATTAAGATAAAGATGAGGGGGAGAGGACGAAGAGGAAAATGGGGAGGAGGCGGAGGAGGCAAAATGATAAGGAGGTGCTAAGGCGAAGCGAGGATGGTAAGGACGGCGGCGTGGACGATGTGGAGGGGGCAGAGAGGAAGAATAGGAGGAAGAGGAGGAAGATCAGGGAGGGGGAAGCGTTGGACGCGATTGCACGAACTTCGAATGACTGCTGGTTATGATCGAGGGAAAGCCTTCGGAACAGCAAACAGAGTCGCCCCTGAATTGACCTGAAGTGCGTCGTGTCGCCAGCATCCAGCCTCTTCCACAGGGACAGCAAACATACGTTTGTGGCGGCTCTGCTGTAAACGGCTGGACAAAGAAGGCTCTGGTGGTCGGTTGCTACCTCCTCGCTCTGAGGACGGAGAAGGACAAGGAGAAGAAGAAGAAGAAGAAGAAGGACGAGGGAGGAGGAGGACGACGACGAGGACGGGGACGAGAACGAGAGAACAGATGAGGTGAAGGCAGAGGAGAAGAATGAGGACGAGCGTTGGATGCCCGAAATTGGAGGTAGGAGTGGAGCAGAGGAGCAGCAGCATCAGGAGGCGGAACTGGAGGAAGAGCTAGCACGATAGACGATAGAGGGATCGATGTGTGAGGTCGGAGGGCTCTGGGAGTCCACGGAACCGATCGCTTTGATCGATTCGAAACCGCAGCCACCGCAGTATCCACCAGATCCGTGAAACAGGAGGAAGAAGAAGAAGAAGAAGACGACGACAAAGAGATCGATGACGACAAGGAGCAGGAGGAGGAGGAGGGGGAGGAGGAGGAGGAGGAGCATGAAGAAGAGGAGGAAGAGCAGCAGGAAGATGCTTCACGGGCAAGCACAGCAAAGTGAGCGCAGCGTCGGGTCGGGCCTCCAGGTCCATGAAGATCAGGTTGGAGCATCTGTTCTGGCCCAGAGACTGCGAGCGGCGGACTTTTTCCCCCACTCCTCCCTCATCCCTCCTCTTCTTTCAGGGGCAACGATAGGGGGGGGTAGGCATAGGGGGGATGCATCGACCCCCAATCGCCCATTGATCGTCGATAGGGGCCCGATAGCCCCAACCTGCCCAGGAAAGTGCGGGTTCACGATCGGGAGCATATCGCCGACCTATCGGCGATGTATCGCCGATTCCAGGTCCATGCATCCCCCCCTATGGCTATCCCCCCCTATCGTTGCCCTTCATTCTTCCGCGTCGAGGTCCTCCGTTAGCCACCTCCGCGTGCCCAGAGGGGCCCGCAATCAGAGGAGGGCAGTCCCACCAGCTTGCCGTCGCTCGGACGTCCATTTCCCGAGCATTTTTCTGTGTCGTGCGTGTTTTTTGGGGGCTCGATGGTCCAGGATGGTCCTCGATGGTTCTCGCCGAAAAAAAATGCACACGTCCGAGCGGTGCCAAGCCAGGGACCATCCCGTGACCGCCCAAAAATCCACGGCGCGCGTGCGCACGCATCTGGGACGGATGTGGGCCCTCGTGGCGAGGAGGCAGAGCCCATCCCACATATTTGGACGCCCGACATGGGTACGGAAGAAACGGGTACAATGCCCAACAGCAAAGGTTGTCCCAAACCAACAGCGGGCGCTGCTGGGACGGCGGCCTTCTGTCTCAAATGGACACAGGCCGCGGCGGCGCGGACAGCCAGTCCCATTCAAAATGAACAGGAACTGCTGTTGGGCATCGTACGCACTCTTTCCGTACCCATTCCGTTCGTGCTGAACTCACGCCGGGCCTCCCGCTCCCCCTCGCCGAGGCGGCGCGGGCGGCGAAGCGCCGGCTCTCCGTGGCGCACCGCTCAGCTGCCCCGCCACGCTGCCCTCCCGCTGCCTCGGGGGGGCCGTGGCGGGGCACCGCGCCTCCAGGCGGGGGAAGGAGGGCGAGGGCAGCGTGAGGGAGGAGGGAGGGACCCTGAAAGAAAACAGCGTGAAGGGGGAGGAACCGTGAAGGGGGGGGCGTCAAGGAGGAGGGCAGCGTGTGGAGGGGCACCGCTTCTTTTGCCTGGGAGGGCCCCGGTCTCCCCCCCGGGAGAGGCATGTCGCGCGCCCGAGCGAGGGCTCCGCCGTGCGCGCCTGGCCCCACTTGTTCTCCGCCAGCTGGTCGGTGCTTCTCACGCGGAAGGTGGAGCCTGGCGGACCGAGCCGTCGGCATCCAGCGCACTAGACGACAGGCGACGACGGCACCGACGACGACAACGTCGACGTCGACGACGACGACGACGACGACGACGACGACGACGACGACGACGACGACGACGACGACGACGACGACGACGACGACGACGGCGGCGGCGGCGGCGGCGGCGGCGGCGGCGACGGCATCGGCGACGACGACAGCATCGGCGACGGCGACGGCATCGGCGACGGCGACCGCGACGGCGACGGCGACGGAACCGGCATCGGCATCGGCATCGGCAACGGCATCGGCGACGGCAACGGCATCGGCGATTGCGACGGCAGCTGCGGCCAGGAAGACGAGAGCGATGAGGCAACGAGGGAGGAGGAGAGGGGGGACGGGTCGGAGGGGGTGGAGGTGAGTGGGCACTCGCAGGAGGAGAAGCAGAAGCAAGGTGCGGGAGGAGGCGGGGGCTGGGATGATGGGGAGCGGAAGGAGGAGGGCACGGAGGGGCAGGAAGGAGGGGGAGAGCGTCGCTCACTGCGCTCGCGCACGCACAGGCCACCGTCGAGCATCAGACCACAGAAGACGGATGCAGACCCGCGACAAAGCGGCCCAAACCTGGCGAACCCCAAAACATCCAGCCCTGGAGACAGAGAAGAGGACAATACTCACCATCGTCCAGCCCTGCCTCCTTCCCTCCTTCCTCCGACCCCTAGAGCCTGGAACCCTGTGGAACGCTCAGAACCCATACCAACCTCGTCTAAAACCTCCAACCGCCCTCCTCCCTCCTCTGGGGTTCCCTTTCGAAACTGGGGTTTCGACTGAATGGCAGCGCCCATGGAGCGCTCATCTCTCAAGGGTACGACCCCAACATTGCAACGAAACACTTCATGATCTACAAGAAAGGAACGTTGGACAGGAGGGTAGATTGCAGCATCGTTGATGTATCATGGGTTCTCTCTGGCCCTCCTCATCCTCCTCCTCCTCCTCCTCCTCCTCCTCCTCCACCTCCTCCTCCTCCTCCGCCTCCTTCTCCTCCTCATCCTGTTCCTCTCTATACCACTCCCCAACCTTCCACTCCAACCGCTATTCTCCTACTCCCATCCTCCCCCTCTGGGAAGATGGGGAGGGAGGGGCGAGGAGGGAGAGAGCGAAGATGAGAGCGAGGAGGTAGGAGGCGTGGAAGCGGGAGGAGGACAGCAAGGAGGACGACAGCAAGGAGGAGGAGGAGGAGTATTCGTTTGACATCCGCTGTATGGTTGCGTGGTGGCCTCGCCTGGCCGCTGGCAAAGAATTGCGCGCCTGGCATGGGGGAGCGCCCCCTTTTGCCACACATGTGAGACCGAGGGCCCACCCCACAGGGCACCAACCTCGAGCGGGGCCACGAAACCAGCGCGAGGCTCTGGAAGGCCGGCCTCGACGCAGAGCAGCCGACGGCACTGCCGGCACGGGCGAAACAGGGGCCGCACCCCTTGGAGCGCCAGCAGCGACCCACATCCTCGAAGGCGGCCCGCGCGAGGACCAGCACGCAGCAGCAGGGTGGGCCCCGCCCACAGGCAGGGCAGCCGAGGCAGCGAAACCCGCCCGACGACCACGTCCTCCTCCTCCTCCTCCTCCTCCTCCTCCTCCTCCTCCTCCTCCTCCTCCTCCTGCTCCTCCTCCTCCTCCTCATCCTCCTCCTGCTCCTCCTCCTCCTCCTCCTCCTCCTCCTCCTCCTCCTCCTCCTCCTCCTCCTCACCCGCCTCCTCCTCCTCCTCCCCTCACACCGTCAGTCCGCATCCTCGTCCACAGACGGGCGAAGCGCCGCGACGGGAGGACCCGCGCCCTCCTCCGCACGGGACGCCTCTGCCACCGGCCGCGCAACGCCTGCCTGGAGAGCTGGCCCGAGCTGGTGGCCGCCAGCGGGCGGGAGCGGTGGCGGGGGGCACCTGCCATCGGCAGAGTGCCACTCCCCCCCTGAGCAGGCGCAGCGGGCGCGGCAGCAGTGATGGGGGCACCTCCCCATAGCACGGCGCCATTTCCACCCGGAACGGAGGCAGCGAGCGCGGCATCAGCGATGGGTGCACCCCCCGAAGGTACAGCACCACGCCCACCCCGAAAAAGAACTAACCGACGCAGGATAAAAAATGTTGAAGTATTGCATACAGTTGTCTGTGCCCAGTGGCCCCCGCCCCTGCTTGCTACCATGAGGGCGACGGCCCTTGTAAAGAGCCTGCCTAAGCTTGCGAGCAGAAAGCGAAGGAGGGGTGTTACACTGGGACCCGAGCCCCCGAATGGAAGCACCCGAGCTGCTACACTTACATCTGCATCACACGACTCGAACTGATCCATCGGAGCAGTCGAAGGCGACTGCACGATGCCCTAGAGCATCCTGCTCAGAGGCGCGCAAACGCGAGCGACCTGCAGAGCTTCCGAGGGGAAGGTGTTCGAAAAACGTCTTCCCTATTTTTGTTGGGGGGGAGAACAAAAAAAAAAAAAAAAAAAAAAAAAAAAAAAAAAAACATCCCCAGACCCCCGACCACCACTCCCAACGATGACCAGGCGGGGGCTCTCCTCTGGCTTGACTATACTCGGGCGGGGCCCAGGAATTCCGGAAATATCCTGTTTGGGCGACAGGAGGTAAAACATTGACAACCAAAAGTACAAACTAACTTGCCAACTAGCACCTGTCGGTCGAGACGAGAGATCTCCGCCTCAGATGCCACAGGGCGCTGAGCAGCATCCAGCGTGGCTGCCACGTCAGCATCATCATTCCCGGTGCGCCTCACGCGTTCGCAGGCATCAACGCCCACTTCGAATGGGGCCAACTGCGCAAATAACCTTCACGACCGAACGAACGATCTCCGAACCAAGGCGATACATCAGCATGAAGGCCTGCGAATGGCCTCTGGTGGCTGAACTGCACGGCAATGCCGCTGGCGCGTTGCTCACAAGCTGCCCTCCGCAACGGGACGCGGGAACAAGTCGCCAGGATGGGGGGATATCCCCCTGGCCAACAAATCTCGGGGTGGGATGTCTGCGCCAGCAGTTTCCAAAACGATCACGGGCATGGCCAACTCCTCCCTCGACGAAGCAGCTGCAAGGCAAAAACGCTTCCACGAGCGACCCGAGACGAACGAAGACAGTCGTTGACGACGTCAAGACAGAGCCTGCTACACTGCACCGCACGATTTGAAGCAAATGCCCTTGCCAGGGACCACATGACAGCCCGCTGAAACATCCGCTTCAGCAAGGCGGATGGGATGGATGCGAGCCGAAACGACTCACCGAAAACATTCAATCGTAACAGGATCCGCCGCGATCCACTTAATCGTGTCGAGGGAGAGGCGCATGGCCATGATGGGACCTCCAGCACGCCTCCACTTCGGCGCAGGCTTGGGACGAACCGAACCCAAACGACCACGAAGCTGATCCTGAGCCAAAGCGCAAGGGTAGGCTCTTGTGCAAATCGTCCACACCTCTGCATATCTGACGATGGGCACCACCTTGCCGTTCCAAGGCGGATCATCGTTACAGGTAGAGGTGGAAATGAAAGACCTGCTTTGGAACATGTTTCCTGACAACCTAAAATCTGAGAGCCCATGAACCTCAGCCCCGGAAAGGGGCCTTGTGGAGCCATCCCGTGACCCATGACCTCTTGGTGCATTTGTTAAGGCTACGACTCATCTTCTTAACGAGAGTATGGGTCGCCTGCTTAAGATGCTTGACCCTGTCGTGGAGCTTTGAAACCACGCGGGCAGAACCCCTATCCCCGCATTTTCGTCAATCCTGAGGTTGACGGCGCTGTCGGGCAACTGTTCTCTGGAACAGCTCCCACCACAGACCCTGAGGGACAAATGACTGGTCATCTAGAAACTGCTGCAGAACCTGCTCTTCCCCCTTCTCGCCAGTGCCATCTGCGACAGGCGCTTACAAGGTTTGTCCTGGCGGCGCGGGTTGCTCTCCGAATCCTCGAACGGGGCAGGCGAACGCGCCGCCCCATCCGCCGCCCGAAACCATTTGAGGATCACGCGCATACGCCCTGCGGCTTGGCCAAGCCATGTTGTCGTCGCGGCATGTCTTCACTGAGCCCGCGCAAACTGGAATGCCACGTTCAATTCTTCAAGGGGCCTCGCATCCTCGCGCAGGACACCGCGCATACGATGCGGAAGCTCTGTTCCACCATTCCATTGCATATCTGTCAATGCCTGGTGCTGCAAGGCGAAGCGGATCTTTCCCCACTGCAGCGACTGACGCCCACCAGAGATCCGACTGAGCTCGTTTTTGGTACCACAGCGAGGCATTGGCCCGCAAAGTCCCGAGCATCTTGATCTCGCGCGGAGTGGGGGTCGTCGTTGCTGTACCGACGTGGGATGCGGGGCGCACACCGGTCCTAAAGAAACGACCCTTTTCTGCTTGATCGCTGTGCCCTTCACGATGTGCAACCTCTTTGCATTGGCAGCCAGCGTGATCAACCTACGTTTGCGCGCCCATCTTCCTTGGTTGTTATGTCACTGATTGCCGGTTTGAAAAAAATACCCAACCTTTCTGCTGCCAGGTTTGAAAATCAATGCCCAACCTTTCTGCTGCCCATACTTTTGCGCCTGCTGGCTTCTGCAAGAGCGCCGCCACCTTCTCCACGAGCTGAATCGAACTTCTGACTACGCTAACCTTGGGCACCGCTAGCTTAAGCATCATCTTGTCCAAACCCTCCTGCATCCCGAGTGCACGCGCCGGCAAGCTTCCAAGCCCTGTTCTCATGGATAGGCCCGAGCACGGCATCACGAAGTCCCCTATGCGCAGGCCGTTCGTGCAGCCAGGCGAGACTGATGCGTCCATATTTGGCACGAGGACTGTTTTTGCGTAACATGTTACTTGGCAGATACCTGCCGCGATACCCCTTTCTGAGCACACCTTCTCTGAGGACACTCCGTTCATCAATACACGGCGCGGCCAACGATACATAATGGAACAGATGAGCACATGCATGGGGAACTTCCTACGCGTGCCATGCTTCCAGAGGGCATTGTGGTCCATCACGCCGTAGAAACGGTTTAACTCCCACAGTACCGCAAGATAACGCCCAACAATGGCTGCTACTTCGCTACGAACTGTTTGCCCCCATACCGTAGATTTCGGGCGTAGGCTCTGGCTTGCGCTAAACTCCTCTCCCAACTCCCATACCCAATATTTGCAGCAAAGCGCTGAGAACTTGCGATGGGCCCAGATCGTGGCTGGGAGAAACCTATGCACCTGCGACCTCATCTTCTGTGCTTTAGGGCCAGCAGGAGCTGGAGGGAGCGAACTTGATGAGGGGCTTGCCCAAGAACATACATGATATTCAACACTTCCAAACAGTCATCGAAAACGAAAGCAATATGGCGAGGATGGCACCCATGTTGCTGACAGGTACACTCTTTGAATGCTGCTGCCACTTTTCTGGTTGCTTTGGGGGGACGGTGCCAGGGACATCATAGACTCCTCGATGTTTCATCCACTCTGGCGTCTGGGGCTAGTTGGGGTGGCTGTCCACTTCTGAGCCCGCGAATACAACTGCCAGTGGACGAGCTCGAAGAGCGACGACGACGACGGCCTGTGAGCTGTGAGAGTAAGTTCCTCTTGCTGCCAACCCACACACTAAAATGGCGAAATACAAATTGGCATCCTCTTTCACATACCCTGCCG